CCAGAGTGAGTGACAGAAGTGGCAAGAGGTGGTTCGGAAGATTAAAGACCCAAGTCACCAGAGGCTGCCATCTCGCAAGAATATTTAGACATTTTCCACTTGGCAGTCATTAATATTCTTCAGCAAAGAAGGAACAGAAAGCCTGTTCAAAAGGCTCCTTCTTTAGATCTCTGTACCTTGGAAGATAAAGTGAATGTGAGGGTTTTGTTTTGAAATTAAATATTCATTGGATTGGGTTAGAGCTATTACTGTTCCTGAGAATAAAACTGGATTTTCCCTTTGTTTTAAAGTAACTATAGTCATTTTTAGTTAAGAATCAATTTTTGTACTGCATCCGTCAGGGTAATGTATGGTGTGATTTTTCTAATATAATAGACAGAGCTTGGAATTGAATATAGAAGGGCTCAAAGTATTTTAGAGCGGGTGCCTGAGCAATTTGACATGGCAGAATCCCTGTCAGCAAGAAGCCACGTGCAATAGAGCTTGGGATTCAAACCCTGGGATGACGGTAGCCTCTGGGTACATTTTTTTGCCCTGTTAATACAGAGCTATGTCGTAGCATCTCTGAATTTCAGTTTCCTAACCTGTTAAATGTGGAGCACATGTCCCTCCTCTGAAGGTTTGCATATGGATTTAGAGAAGACAACTAGGATATGCATAGCATGGATGAAGCAGGAGTACACAGTTGACGATTCGTATTTTAACATAATAGTAAGATCTGGTCACTCAGTGGCTTGAAAGTCATTTACATCTGTTTTTTTTTTTCTTCCCCCCTCTCTCCCTCTAATCTTTCAGGCACCATTGCTCACATTTCCCTTGAATTTAAACATCTTTTTAAAAACTTTCAAAGCTTTGAAGGTTGATTTCGTTGAAACCTGTTTTTATTCTAGGCGTTTTCCCTGCTGTCACTCTTGAGTAAAACAAAAAACATTCACTGTCAAAACAACAAGGGTTTGCTCTCAAGCACAGAATGAAAGCAGATAGGTCTGCCTGACTTATTTTGGCATACGCCTAGCAGTTAAATAGGACACCTTTTAATTTGTCACTTTCAAGATCCATGTATGCTGGCAGAGTAAACCACTCTTTACTGAGTAAACCAGTGCTTGGTATGAACTAGTTGGACAAAAAGATTTCTTCTTTATCCCTCTCGCACGTGTGTCTCTCCTAAAGTGTCAATTAAAGAAGTAACTGTGTATTTAGCCACTTAAGATAGTAACAACTAATGGATTTTTATTTTTACTTAAACCTGGAGGAGCTTAGAAACCTAACATATTACTGAGATCAGTAATATTACTGAAGAAAGACAGGAGGTCAATGTTTTTCAACAAACCTATATGGACCTATTTAAAACAGTGAATTTCCAATTACTTAAAAAATTATTATCAACTCTAAGTAGAGACTAAAATTCAAATCTCAACTTGGCCATTTACTAATGAGGGAAGTTAATATCTCTTTTTTTTTAGTGCATATAAATTATATAGAATAGTGGGTTTTCTTGTGGTATATTTGTAAATGCATGTAACATATTTTTATGGTTTTCATCCTAAATCTGTTTCCTTATCTGCAGATTGGTAATAATGTTCACTCCTTCCAGAATGTTTATAAAATTAATCAACACAATGGACAGAACTTCTAGCACCAATGGTTGCTCTGTAACATCTTGAGTTATTCAACCCAGGATTTAGCACTTCTTACTGCATGGAAGTTGTTTTATGGGTTCCAAATTTATTTTGCTGTAATATAAGCCAGTTCTCTCGTTTTCTCTAAGTTGGTGATAACATCTGTTTAAAACCTTCGGTATAACAAGGCCAGATTGAGGGTTTGTATTTCTGCAATCATTAACACAACCATTCCTAGACAGAAGTGGTTTGTGGCATCTCAATAACCTAATTGTAGTCTGTAATCTGGTTGATTATTGGACGGATAAATGGATTTAGTTTAAAAAGGAGATAAAAACCACATACACACATATACACATGCATACACACACACACACACACACACACACACACATATATATATACACATACATACACATAAATACATTTTTTTTCTATTCTTCAATATACATTAAAGTAAGAATCCAGCTTCAGACATTTTTCTTTATGTGAATGTGTGGGGAATGTGAAGGAACATAAATGCTATCTGCTTTAAGACTCTTAAAGCCATTGACCTTCAAATGAAAGGTGAGAAACTCTGTGACAACTTAGGTTAACCTTGGTTTTCCAATCCAGTTTAATAGATTTTAATAGACACTTAAAAAAAATCTATTAAACTGGGGTCAGGGGGGTCTTCACTAATTTTGAAAGTTCCATGATACCTGCGGTCCAAGCACCAAATCTCCCCAAGGTTTGCCTTTCCTGACATCTTCTGCTCTCACTCGCAGGGTTGCTATCAGAGTTCAGCTGAAGACTGAGGATGGCCTGATCTAACACCCCAGTCAAGTTTGCTCTCGCCCAGGGCCAGGGAGGCAGAGGCCATCCTCCAGTCAGATGGAAACAGAAGTGATTTCCTTTTCTAAATCCATGGCCTGATTATCCCGGTGGAAACTTATGGAATAAAGCCAGGCTAAACTGTTGTTCTCAAACATGTTTATTTGTAACAGTTTTACATGGCGTGTTACAGAAATTAATGGAAAATTTCTAAAAATTTCGCTGTTCTGTTGAATGCATTGTACATAAAGTTAAAAATAATGTGTCCATATATGTTAACAAACTGTCATCTGAGGTAAAGTTAAAGTAGGTCTAGAAATGTACTGCAACAGTCATTTTCTCTTTCTCATCTTTATTAAAAAAATATGTGTCAGAACGCAGAAATTGAAATGAACCAAACCCACAGAGTAAACATTTTTTTTTTTTTTTAAAGAAGGTGCCCGGTACATTACATGATGGGGTTTCAGTAGACACTGGGATGAGTACAAGTTATCAAAAAAGTCTTGCGGCATGTAAAGATTGAAGAGCTATGGGGAATGGGGACAGAACGACAGGTGGCATTTCCCTGGTTCAAAATTTAAAGTGACAAATTTAGTGCTAGTGAAAGATGAGGAATTAACAGTTACGTACATGGATTTTTTCTATTGATCTAACCAGAACTGTGCAGACTCCCCATGCTCTTTTGGTATTGGCACCTCAGCTCTTGTTTGGAAATGTCACTGTATTCCTGGGATAGGATATGGTGTTGCTGGACTCACCAAACAGCGCTTGGGAAAAAAAAAAATCAGAATTCTGCCAATGAGACTATAGATGGCAGTTTAAAAATCTCAACTTGATTTCCCTCTTTAACGCATCACATGGGCATCTTCTGGAAGTTCAGAGCCAGTTACATTTTTAAGCATGTTCAATGAGTGATGACAAGCCATTGGGCTGTCACCCTCTGCTATGAAATTAACTCTGGACGGTGCACCCGAAACATCAGCTACGGTTCACTTTGAACACTGCAGAAGCAACCCGAAGCATGGGCATGATGGTGTGATACTGTGGGACAAACTCAGGATGGCCACGTTGAGGGAGAAGATAGCACCACTGTATAGAATCAGGATCGTGGAGAACAGCAGCTGAGGTGATCTCCCCCCGGGAACTGCCCACCTTATCCAATCTCCAGAACTCACTGTCGAACTGGTTTCAGGATAACTCTCCTGCTGATCACACCTTTCCCATTTTCTCCTTCCTATGAGAGTACTGCCTTATTATATCTGTGGACGCTGCTGGAGGGGTCCTGGGACCCCAGTTGACACTGCAGGTGCTACATGGCCTTCTTGCTTTTCTGGTTCTTGGGATCTTCCACACTGGGATGACATTGACGTATATTCTCTAATGAACATTTGGCATTTGGTCAGTTTATCTACACCCTCCTCCCCACCCCAAATTTGATTCCAATGACCTTATTGTGTAATATGTGGGCTTCAGATAGCAATAATCACCTACACATATCTCTTTCTTTTCTTTCTTTTTCTTTTTTGGAGAATAAAGGGTACAATCATTTTAGAATTCGTCTTCCAAATAATTTTCATTTCTAGCGATATGAAGAGCCAAAGCATACAGGCCTATTGGAGCCAATCAGATCCATGCAAATTCTACTTTTCAAATTTTAAACCAAGTAATAAGAATCACTCCCCAATCCAGTGAATTACAGGATTCTTTAAAGTTTCCTTCTTAGTGTTAAACCACTCAATTCAACATACCGTAACTGCATAGGAACATCAGGAAAACACGTGTGACCTGTATAACAATTCTCTGTAGGGAAAAAAATATATAATTCTTTATGAAAATCATGTGCGGAACATGTGAACCGAACACTGCACTTTTTGTCCCATCCGTGTAAAAACAGGAAGCTTAAACCCTCTGTTTCGAACACAGAGTCCGTGATTTATGGAGGGAGTAGGTGGGTGTGGAGAGTGTGCGGATCTCAAGGCCAGGCCTTCTAACGCGAACCACCTTGTTCCTGTTCTGCACACCACATGGGCACGCTGGTGGAAGGTGAGCTTATGGAGCCACAGTCCCCCTCTTTTTCCCCAGCTGCTGATGGGCCAGATGCTCCCACCAGCTGTCCCCGACCTCCTTCCTGCCATCTGCTCCAGTGGAACATCTGGAGAGTGAGCCCCATCCATCAAGGTGTCACACTTTGCACGCAGCCTGCCACCTTCTCTACAGTGTAATGGCATTATTAAAAAGCATTTTCATTAACATTTATATTTACAAAAAAAAAAAAAAAACTGACAATTTTTTTTTTCATTAGAACTCCTTAAAGCCATTTCCCTTAAATATTTAAAGAGTTTAATGGTAAGGTTTTTTTTTTTTTTTCATTTTCAAGTTACAAAATAAAAATCCCATTTGAATTTTCGGATGTACAAAAAGAGAGATGAACCATTTTGACCACGGGATCAGTTTGTTAGGCTGAATGTTTTATGTCCTCATTGTTCCAGCAGAAAGTCAGTTCTCAAGATCCGAAACCACACGACCAGGATTGTACCAGAATTATTTGGCAAATGACTTTTCTTTGAAAATGGCACGTGGAGAAGACACTTGTCTGCATAGTATCACAGCAGCAAAGTATCGGGAAAATAAAAAATATCATTTTATTGTACTCAAGAGTTTAGAGCTTCTTAGGAAACCAGATGCATTTTTTTCCATCTTTCTCATCAATGGGATTTGATGTCCTTTCCTACGCACAGAGTGAAGATTCAAACCGAAAACTGTCCTTCTTCACCAGCTTGCAGAACAAAATAAAGGGTCATTTTGGCAACATTCTTGATCACAATGAATAATCGATCACTTATTTGTCTTGTGATTTCAAGTTAATTACTTCATAATAAGAGACTTTCCCCGCCCCCAGTTAGATTTCTTCACCCATATCTAAAAAAAGTCAAAAGCAATACAAAAATTTATACACCCATTAATTTTCAAACATGACAAAGAAAGGAAAGGTGTGGGTGAGGGATGGCAGACCAAGCCCTGTGGAGCAATGGAAAAACTCATCATATGCCAGAAGGCATAGGGTCGATGATGACATTGTGGTCACAGAGGACCCTCTTGCTTTTGCCTAAAAGAAGTCAGTGCCAACCTTGTTGCAATTCTCTGATGCCTGTCACTCCAAATTTGCTGTCTCTACAGTGGTCAACAGGTAGAGAAATAAAAGCAGAATTATGATTTTATATCCCAGGTCATTTTAAACCCAGCTAAGAGAGCTCAGAATATTTGTTGGGTAAGTATTTGCTTGATTTGTGATTTAATGTTGGGTGTTTTTTATTTATATATATATATATATACTTTTGTGGATTTTTTTTGTGCTGCCATAGATATCTGCCATTGGTTGCCGAAAATGCTTAGTTCCCTCCTCAGAAGGAGTTCCATCGGGCAATAGTGAATTTCTTCGTGAGATGAGGTGAGGTGAAAGAATACAAGGGAGCCTGTCGCCATGCCGATTTCCGTGCTAGTCTGGAAGCACCCACCACGAGCTCACATTGATGCTACTTCTTAGGTCGGTTGATCTGCGCATAGAGAGGCTCTGGCTCCTGTGGACAGAGGGACAAAGTGAGACCTGCCCTTTCCAGGTGGGATGTTCTGAGACAGCTTAAGGAAGGAAGGGTTGGGAGTCAAGACAGAAAGGTGATAGCGGATGATGGATGACCTCAGGGTATTTTTGGATTACTCCGTCATTGTGCATATCATTTTGGCCATGTTTTTCTCATGAAAAAGAATGACTCACCCAGTTCTATCCTTGGCTTTTAAGCGGGGACTGCTTTAGCATGATCTAGCGGGTGGGCGAGCTGGACCAACTATGTGATGGCGGTAAGATATTTATCCTTTCTGATATTTTTCTGTTTCTTCAAGCAAGAAATGTAACTAGTACTGCTTTTCCTGGAGGGTTCTTGAAAGAATTAGAAATAAAATCCATAGAAAACATCTAGCACAAGGCTTTGGAGGAAAGGGTCCTCAGAGAACCTCACAATCATGGTGGGTCCAGTGGATATTTTCCCAGCACCATTTCTGGGTGTCTACTCTAGACCAAGCTGCTCTTAGCTTCCACAAACAATGGTGACAGGGTGACTAGCAAGCAAGAAAGACAGCAGGCGGTCTTTAGCTCTTAATCAAAAGCTTCTGGGGCTTGTTTCTATTTCAACCTGCTATGTTTGGTTTGGCCATTCATTTGCCTGCACCTGAGGGGCTGTCCCGGGACCCACACAGAGACTTTCACCAGCACAATGCAGCAAGACAACTGTAGATGGGGACAGGTGCCTGTCCTTGTCTAAGCCACTTCAGACTTTGGCTCATGTTGAGATGAACCAGTGTACACTGGCCAAGCACATCAGATCCAAAGTCTAACCCTTCTGCTAAAACTGACCACATGGCTGTTTGTGGCAGAATTAAATGAGCACACTCATATCTTAATTCTGCCATATTTTACGGAATTTTATGTTATTCTGCCTCATGCCAAGTGTGTATAGATCCTTTTTATTTCCTTATTTTCTTGGACCTTCAGAATGAATTGATTGGCATTTTGTGAGTCTCTACTGTGTGTCTGGCACTGTGCTAGGGATTGTTAAGTACATAACCCATCATAACCACCTTGTACAGCAGGTGTGTTCTCTTTTGCGAGTCAGAAATCAAGTACAGAGAAGTCAAGTAATTTGCCCATGGTCACAATGCTAATAAGTCTGGATACAGGAGCCCTGGAAATGGGGTGCAGTGTTTTTTCCTAGTCTATTACAATAGCCGCTATGAGAGAGGCCAACTAATCCTTCCATCTGTAAAGTGCTTCAGAATTTACAAAGCACCTTCATGTCTTATTTTATCTATTTAACAGTCCTGGGAGCAGATTTTTTTCCCTCCCATCTTCATTTTGCAGATAAAGCCTCAAGATCAGAGAGGTTGTGCAGTCTCAAGGTGACCTCGCTGCTTCTTGTGTGTCGCTCTGCTGGCTTATATTGCAAAGTGAGAGGACCTGCAAGATAAGGCCCAGGCCCACCAGTACAGAGATGAGGAATCTGCAGGAGAGCTCTCCTTCCCCTCCCCCCCCTTCCAACCACAGGGTTACTAAGGAAGCACCCTCAGGGTAGAATGCAGGGCTGTGACCCTCAGAGCCAGGGTTCATTGTTTGGGTTTTTCTGGGGAGCAGGAATACCCTGCCCTAGCAGACACCCTATTCTGCGACCTAATAATGCTAATAGGTCCCTTCTTGCTTTCCACCCACGCACCTCTTGCTGCCCTCTGAAACAGAAAGAACTGCAATCCTTCTTCACATGTCCAATGACAGAGGGTCCAGAGCCATTTTTCCACCTCCTTCCTCTGGGTTACTGCCTGCTGGTACCTTCTGCCATTTTACATATACAACGCAGATCATGGGTCCTCAAAAAACAGCCTCTGTTTTGTCAGTGAGTGATTGTGACAGTTTCTAGTTTCTTCACTGTTGTGATTCCTCTGTTCTAAACACACTTCAACTTGGCTTTATTCTTTCAAAATCAAATTTATCAAAACATACAGCAAGATGATTTATTAAGTACCTGATCTACTCTGTGCCAATGTCTTTGACTGTTTCAAATATCTGTTGTAAGGGGCTAAGACATGAGTGTCACTGTGTGTGTGTGTGTGTGTGTGTGTGTGTGTCTGTCTGTCTGTCTATTTCCCTGGGCACTCCAGGGGTGGAGTAAGGAGAGTAAACAAAGAAAAATAGTCTCGCAAATGACTGGGAAGAAGCGTTTCCTTAGGTATCTGCATGTATCCTGGGTTGAGTTTCTGAGCCCATTCTTTCTGGGTGCCCTAAGAAGTCAGACTGGCTTGATCTCACCCTACAATTTGCTCTATTCTAATTTTGGAAACTAATTTATCCAACTGAGAATGACACCTAAAAACAGGGGACGACAGCAGGCGCAGACGGGGTAATTAATGCCACGCTGCATTCACTTTCTGCAGCCGAGATAAATATTCACACATCTCCTGCTTGCCGGAATTTAGCTTCAAATACCCATCACAACAGCGGTACCAACTGCAGTCAACTCTCAATTATCCCCACTAATGAAGGGGAGCAGTGGTGTGGAAAACCCCAAGCAGCAGATAATCCCAAAGTCTGACACCGTGATGCATTATACGTTTTGGCAATAGCTTTACTTTCCTTGTTACAGAACCTTAGACTGTCAGAGTTAGAGGGGAGCTAAGAAATCATTTGATTCAGAAATTTCCAACCTGTTTTCTGGCAAGGTCACGATGGAGTCTTCAAGCTGTTTTCAATATTCCAAAAAGACTAAATGGAATCACATATTAACATAACCCACTATGGATGATTTTTTGTTTTGTTTTGTTTTCTTTGGACAGATGTGACCACATCTCTGTCGTGCCTCAAATCTTTCAAAGGCTTGCCATCACCCCGGTTAAGATCGGAGCTCCTTAGCTGGGCAAACAAGGCCCATTAGTCTTGTAGTTCATTAGAGCTAATAAATATCCCTTATAGACCATGAATCAAAACTCAACCTTTATGTCACAAAAATCATGTTTTTTTTTTTTAAATCTTTCTTTTTATCTCTGCCAAAATGATCTTTCTGAAATGGATTTGGTCATGTTAATCTCCTGACTGAAATGGCCCTCCTGACTCAGGAAGATAATGTCAACTCCTTGGGACAGCACACAGGCCTTTCCAATATGGACTCTCCTTCGCCAACCCCTCACCTACTTCCACTCCCTCCCATGTTCTACCTTCCTGACCCTACTCTGGATGTCGAGAGTGGCAAATGAATCATTGCTTTGAACTGACCCCTGGACAGAGGTGACACCACTCTTAGGAATTTATCGGTGGGAAGGTGCCAGTTGAAAACTTCCCAGCTGATAGTGACCCCTGGTAGCTCATAGCTTGGAGCTCAAACAGCAGCTCCCAGGACAGAGGATTCTGAGCATAGCAAGATAACTGCAGTGTTTCACCAGTTTAATTTCAAGCCTTCCCACTTAGTAGAAACTTTGAACAATGGGCTTCCTGGGTGCCACAGGAAACCCCAAGCGTTCCAACAATTGAAATAGCTACAAAAATGTTTCTAGCCCCATAACTTTCTAGTGCACAAGAAGCAATGCCTCTATAGTCCTTAACTTCTTGATTATGAGACCCTATATAAATAAACTTGCTGGGTCAGCGCTTCAGACACTGTTTCTCTATCAGAGTGCAGTGTTCCACCAGATCCCAGCTTTCTCTCTCAATATCTGTATGTTTTTCTTTTTTGGGGGGTGGGGGGGCGGTATTAGGAATTGAACTCAGGGGCACTCGACCACTGAGCCACATCCCCAGCCCTATTTTGTATTTTATTTAGAGACAGGGTCTCACTGAGTTGCTTAGCACCTCACTTTTTCTGAGGCTGGCTTTGAACTTGCCATCCTTCTGTCTTAGACTTCCAAGCTGCTGGGATTATAGGTGTGCGCCCCTGTGCCCAAATGTGCGTGTGTTTTTCTTAATTCTCCATCCTGTCTCACTGGTTTCTTGGGTTCAGCCATGCAGATTGCAGGATCTGCGTTTACCTTAACACAACAGACAGAATTTTCCCATTTGAGACATTGCCCAGGCAGTTTCTTTGGACCTTCTTTGCTCTACATGAGAATCGGTGCTTTAAGATCTGGCTCAAACACAAAGGCTTTCCTGGACTCCTCAGGGAGGGGAGCCACTCAGTTCCCAACTCCTGCAGTGCCTCACACAGACCTCCCTCTCCACTCCTGTCACGGTACCATTGAGTGTGTCTGCCCCGAGTTCCACTGTGCCTCGAAGGCCAGCATCCCAAATTCTGAGCAAGAGGCGTGTCTACTAACAAGGAACACTCAGGTATGGGTGAGTAAGTGAACGTCTCTTTTCCTAATGGAAGTTGGCAAATGCTTAGAAACTTTAGCTTCTCTGTGATTTTGACAGGAATATCTTTAGAGGATCACAAGCAAATGGACACTATATAGTAAAAACTAGAACACCATCAACCCTCCACGCTTTCCCCTAAGTTAAACACCCTATGTGTTCAGAGGGTCAGTGAAAGATGGAAGCACAGTAGTCTGGGCTCAGGAAGACCTCAGGTGCTGTTCCTAAGACCCCCTGGAACCACCCAGAGTTGACCAAGTTATGCCTCATTGCAGACAGGGGAACCAGGGAGCATTTCATCACAGGATGTGAGCTGATGTTAGATGATGGACAAAGGTTTTTCTCTGGCTTTCATGGTGTCACAAAGTGCGGTTAGTTCTATGATGATCTTAATAATTCTTATCTGGAAGGCAGGAAGGATGGGGCAAGGTTAAAGCCAGGGGAGAGGGGGAGTTGGTCATTTTTACATTTTTACAGTTTGGACACTGTTCATGTTTTGCTTGTGCTTGGCCATGACTGTGAGTGGCCATGATTTGTTTTGTCCCATCACAATCCCTGAGGGGCCCTGTTTGATGCTGACATGTGTGAAATTATTGATGTTCAACAGAGAACACTAAGACCTGGACATCAGGGGCTGTATTCTTCCTTGCCATCTCCCACTTAGTAACCCCAGGACTCCTGGGTCCCATTCCCCTG